ACGAGAAAATAAGTCAGATTGCTGTAGAATCGTTTAACTTTCAATTCAGAGTGAGGTTGTTGGGAAAACGCAGAATTTTATGAACATAGGAACTAGGAGCAGATAACTTAATCCTTTGAGCCTGCTCTGTCCTTCAATGAGATCATGGCAGAACCTGTAGCTAATTTCTACTTTCCCACACTATCCTCTTATTACCTATAAATGTACTGACTGCAGTCTTGAATATACACAAGCACAAAATATCCACAGTTCTCAGGGGTTGCGGGGGAGGGGGGAGCGTGGATGGAGTTGGGCAGGTACAAAATTCCCAAGATATACAAGTGAAGATATGTCTCCTCTTCTCCGTTCCAAATGGCGAACCCTTTATTCTAAGACTGTGTTCCATACGTCTGGTCTCCACAGTTGGGGGAAACATCCACCTGCTATGTATTCCTCATTCACAGGATGTGGGCATCAATGATAATGACAACACACATGAGCCACATTCAACTGACCTCAATAAGGATGGTGGTGAGCTACCTTCTTGAATGTTCAAGTGACCTCCTTGGCCCTTAGGAGTCAACCACATCACTGCAAATTTGGAGTCATAAAAAGGCCTTTCCTAAAGGACTTTAGTGAAAAAAACAGAATTTCATGACATTCCAGCAGTCTCAGATAGAATATAGATCATGGGAAAGGGAGAAGGTGTTCGAGTGAAATGGGATCTAAAGTTAAATATGGATAGATATAAAGTGTAGTGATTATAATGAGGTTAGCTGGGTGGACCTCACAGAATATGAGTTCCCTACTGAGGCTACTAATCTGGGAGCCCTGGCTGACAGATATTAACCGGAGTGTAACACTCTGAGAGCTGGCTCTGAGGGTGCTGGAGCAGTATCAAGGACTCTCCACGTGTAAATAAAGGGTGTCTTGGTGATGGGATGCTGGCCTCTGTGGAGCTATTTCGCAAAGAATGTACCTTGAAGATACAATCTACATTCAATTAGTAGGCTAAATATACTGATGTGTCTTAAACTGTTGAGTTATCCTGAACTTGCTATGTTTAGACCTGCCAGTAGCACATTAATCATATCACATGAATATCCTGATCAAATCTCCTCTCAAACTTTCCAAGGAGAGCAGTCCTGGTGCTTCCAATGTAGCTACGTAGCTGAGGTTCCTCATCCTTGAACCAATTCCTTTAGTCTTCTCAGCATTCCAATTAATGTCTTTACATCCTTCTTAAGGTTCAGTGTTTAGAATGGGTATAATTCAGTTAAGGCAAAAACCTGTGTTTTGTAAAAGCTTATCAAAATTTCTAAATGACCACCAAAAGAACTGCAGATGCACTAGACCCGAAACGTTAACTCTGTTTTCTCCTCCACAGATGCTGCCAGACCTGCTGAGCTTTTCCAGCAACTTTGTTTTTGTATCAAAATTTCTTTGCTATTGCATTTTAAGTCCCTATTTATAAAGCCCATAATCACATCTGCTTTACAAACATACAAACAGGGAACAAGATTAGGCCACTCGTCCCTTTCAGCCTGCTCTACCATTCAATAATATTATGGCTAATGATTTTAACCTCAGCTCCACATTCTTGCATATCCCCCAATAATCTTTCATCCCCTTGGTCATCTAGAATCTATCTAGCTCTGCCTTGAAATTATTGAAAGATTCTGCATCCACTGCTGTTTGAGGAAGGGAATTCCAAAGACCCACAACCCCATTCTCAATCTGGTCTGCCATGATGGAAAGGAATTTTCTGGGTTCATCCAATTAAGGAAAACTTTAATTCACATCTTCTGTAAGCATTTTAATCAACCTGATCAAGCATGGTACGGTCATTGAGATCTACAATACAGAAAAAGGCCCTTTGGGCATTGTGTCTTCACCAGTCAAAAACAACCACCTAATATTCTAAACACATTTTCCAGAACTTGGTCCATTGTCACACATCTAAACATTTCTTAAATATTATGAGGGTTTCTATCTCTACCACCCTTACAGGCAATGAGTTTCAAATTCTCACCGCCTTCTGAGTTAAAAAGTTTTCCCTCACATCCCCTCTAAACCTTCTGCCCCTTACCTTAAATCTATGTCCCCAGTCATTGATCTCTTCACTGAGGAGCAAGTTTCTTCCTGTCTACACTTCTCATAATTTTATACATCCCAATCATGCCCCCTCCCAATCTCCTCCACTCTAAGGAAAACAATCCCAGTCCATCCAATGTCTGTTTGTGACCAAAACTCCAGCTCAGACATCATACTAGCAAATCTCCTCTGCACCCTCTCCAGTGCTATCACATCCCTCCCATAATGTGTATTCCAGAACTGCACACAATACTCTAGCTGCGTAAATATCTGGGAGTGGTGGGACTTGAACGTGGTCCATCTAGCCCAGAGATTGGGATGCTATCACTGCATCATGACAGCCCCTTAGCACCTCTTGTAAGAATTATAATATATCACAGCTATAGAGTCATACAGCACAGAAACAGACCCTTCGGTCCCACCAGTCCATGCTGACCATAATCCCAAACTAAACTAGTCCCACCTGCCTGCTCCTGGCCCATATCCCTCCAAACCTTTCCCATTCATGTGCTTATCCAAATGTCTTTTAAACATCGTAACTGTACCCACATCCACCACTTCCTCTGGAAGTTCATGCCACACACGAACCACTCTCTGCGTGAAAAAAATTGCTCCTTGTGTCTTTTTTAAATCCTTAATGTTGATTAGAAGCTATCCAAGTCAAGATATCTCAACTGGTGCGGGACGAAGGTGAATTTACATTTCATGCAGGAGAACCCTCACTCTGTCAACATGGCAAACTTGAATTTTCTTTTTACAATTCATTCTTCCTGAGAGAGTCGGCTATCTCTTTAACTGTTTGCTGAGCTGAAAATTGAGGTGTGATGAAAGTAACTGCATGCTATCATCCCTGCACATAACAAAGAAATCTGACCAGAGACTTAAACTGAGACAGCAGCACAATACTGAACTATCCAACTCATCACCATTTGATGCAGTTACCGTTCTACAATCCGAATGTTGAGCACTGGGGAGGATGGTCATATAATTGGAAAATCACTGCTTGTAACACTTTGGCAGCTCATGAAATTTAAAACTAACTTAATTTTATAAAAGTTCAATATGAAGTAAAGGTAACATCCAATTGTTGGTGTTAGCTGGTGCATTGATATTCTTGAGGGAAGTAAACCTGTCATCCTTACCAGGCCTGGTATGCATTTGACGCCAGACCTGCAGCAATGTGGTTGACATCTGAGCAAGCCACTCACCTATACTAAACCACGACGGAAAATGGTTCAACAAGGTGACTCATCACCCCCTGTCTCAAGGACAGTTAGGGATGACCAGTATTGTCCACATTTCATGAATGGATGAATGAACGGTGTAGTGCTCAATGTCTGAAGGAATATCGCTCTAAACTTATTATCAGTTTATTAAGAAGGGAGATTCTTTTGCTGAAAAAATTGAAGTGGCAACTCAGCTAAGTAGACCAGTCATACCAGTCAAGAATATAGACAATAAAGTGTCCCAGCTGATCTTAGAGGATGAGAAGAATTTCCAGGCTTTTGCAAGTCTCTGTCTGGTCCATGCTATGCCGATTTGTTTAGAATCCATGCTAAGAAAGCAAAGGAAGCAACTGGACAGGATTAGGAGAATGAAAAGTAAAATATAAAATAATTGGAACTATTCAATAAGTAGAAAGAAAAGAGAATCCTAAGTTACAATGTTGGTTGATGACTGAGTCATTAATATTTATTCACATTTTACATGATGCAGCACGATCACTAAATTATTTTTTAATGGTAATCTAAGATGTTCAAAATGGATTCAGCAGCTTCCTTTCAAATGATTTATTCCCCTCCCCATCCCACTGTGACGGGAGGTTATCCTTGTATTTTATTAGATTCATTAAAGAGAGAGTTGCTCATTTAAGACAGAGATAAGGAGGAATTTTTTCTCTCAGAGGGTCTGTGGAATTTTTTACCGCAGAGGGCTGTCAAGGCTGGGTCTTTGAGTGTATTCAAGGCTGAGATAGATTTTTAAAAAGTAAGGGAATTATGGGTTATGGGGAAAAGGCAGGAAAGTGGACTTGAGAATTATTGGGTTAGCCATGATCTCATTGAATGGCACAGCAGACCCAATGGGCTTAAAGGCCTACTTATGTTCCTACATCTGGAGAGATAGCAAGAACTGCAGATACTGGAGTCAGAGATAACACAGTGTGGAGTTGGAGGAACACAGCAGGCCAGGCAGCATCACAGGAGCTGGAAAGCTGGAAAGCTGGAAAGCTGACCCAAAGCGTCAACTTTCCTGCTCCTCTGATGCTGCTCGGCCTGCTGTTCTCCTCCAGCTCCACACTGTTTTATCTCTGTTCCTACATCTTACGGTCATATTGCAATATAAATATGTTCATATTCTTCTGATTTTCAGCCCATCTTCTCTGAGAATACAATCCTAATATTGTGTTGAAGTAGTAAGAACATTGAGTATGAATCAGCTACTCCCCTGAGAGGCTATATAATTAAGTCCAGCCCTGTTCTGATTTGGTGTTACCACATGATTACCAACAGTGGAAACACAAGGCTAGTTTTCCTTTTCACTCTCTAGTCCCAGGCCATTGAAGCCAATTTAAATTCCCCCATTGTTTCATTATCAGTACTGCAATCAATTAACTCAACACAGACTGAGGATCGAACCGGTGACCTTTTTGGTCTAATTGCCTCATGCAACCCACAGCATGTGGCCCATTCACCTGCTGGGTCGTTAGGCAAAACTACAAAGACTTGCTCAAACTCTATTGTGAGCTGAAAACCTAAAATAACAGGTATTGAGATAGGGACAAAAATTTGACTTTCACAATGGCTGTTTCAGAGATGAAAAGGCACTTTTGCATTGATTAAAATACTTGTACATTTCAAACATATTTGTACACAGTTTAACATATATATATTGCTTTGTAACTTATGGAGATATGCAAAACAAGGTACCTTTGTCTCTATCTGGCATGAAACATTTATAAGAGACTCCAAGAACAACCAGGAAACCAGGCAGGTGAGGATGGTTTTGATCTACATGACTTCACCTGATGCTAAATTGCTTTCTTAAACAGTTAGCTGGAAGCAAACTTTTAGGCAGAGGGAGGTCGGTCGGTCTCTTGAAGAGGGCAAATGTTGTGTTGATCTTCATAGCGAGAAGATTTGAGTACAGGAGCAGGGATATCTTACTGTAGTTGTATTGGGCCTTGATGAGACCACACCTGGAGTATTGTATGCAGTTTCAGTCTCCTTATCTGAGGAAGGATGTTCTGGCTATGGAGAGAGTGATTAGGCAGGACTAACATGAAGAGAAACTAGATTGGTTAGGACTATATTCACATGAGTTTAAGAATAAGGAAGGGATCACAGACACCTTAAAAAAAATTCTAAAGGAATTTGACAGGAATTGTTCCCAATGACCAGGGAGTCCAGAAGTGGAGGTCACAATTTAAAGTTACAGGGTAGGCCATTGATGACAGAGATTATGGGAAATTTTGTCACCCAGAGAGTGGTGGAATTCTTTGCCACAGAAAGTGGTTGAGGCCAAAACATTGAATGCTTTCAACAAGGAGTTAGACTAAGGCTAAAGGGGATCCAACCATTTGTGGAAAAACTGCAGGAACATGATACGGTGTTGGATGGTCAGCCATGATCAAATTGAATGAAAGCTTGAAGGACTGAATAGCTTATTCCTGCTCCTATTTTTGAGAGAGTGTGGGGGAAGATGGAGGCAAGATGATTTAAGGAAGCCAATTCTAGCATACAGCTAGAAAGATTCCTTAATTCATTAATGGGATGAGGGCATTGCTGGTCAGGCAGCATTCATCGCCCATCCTTAATTGCCCAGAGGGCAGTTAAGAATCAACCACATTGCTGTGGGTCTGGAGTCACATATAGGCCAAACCAGGTAAGGATGGCAGTTTCCTTCCCAAAAGGACATTAGTGAACCAGATGGATTTTTCCTGACAATGAACAATTCATGGTCATCATTAGACTCTTAATTCCAGATATTTATTCAATTCAAATTCCACTATCTGCCATGGCAGGATTTGAACCTGGGTCACCAGAACATTATCTTGGTCTCTGGATTAATAGTCCAGTGATAATACTACTCGCCCATCACAAAGGCAGCAAATACATGGGAACACGATCACCTGAAAGTTCCCCTTCAAACCACTCACCATCCTGACTTGGAAATACATTACTGGGTCAAAGTCCTGGAACTTTCAACTGTATTTTCCTACAGTAGGCTGGAGCAGTTCAGAGAAGTGGCTCAGGATCATACTCTCAAGGGCATTTGGAACAGTAATAAATACTGGCCTTTACCAGCAATGCCCACATCCTAGGAATTAATTATTTATATATATATATATATATATATATATATATAAAAAGAATGTGGCTGTGTAAGTTTCGATTTAACAGACATGTTGAACAGGTAGTTTTCAAAGCAATCAGGTCTTTCTACTGTCTGTAAGGAGCTTTATCCATTTGTTTGCTTCCCCATACGCAACTTGAAAAAAAATAGTATTTTCAAATAAAGTATTTTGTAAAATTAATCTGAATCTCACAACGACATTTCAGATAATGGGCACAAGGTTCAGTAATCAAGATGTTAATCGCCGTGGTTCCTGGTAAATAATTTTGTGCAAATCTATCGAAAGACGTGAACAGTAAGGGAGGGGGGGTGCTTAACAGTGTGAAGGGGGCGCAATAATTGGCGATTATCATATACTTTACTGGTGCTTACATGTTCAGTTCAGCAAAACTAACTTTGTCTCTGAAACGACATTCAATAAGAAGCAACAGTAACTTTGTGTGTGTGTGTGTGCTGCAGCCCTTGTGGTTATTTGTAAATTAACGTTGATTAGAACCAAACCGGATTTTAAACAAAAATAAGTGCTTTAGGTATTTCACACATGCACCGACGAGCATTTCGTGAGCTGGAGCTTTTTTCCACATGCTGAACAAGATTGTAGCGGGTTAATGGGCAGATTGCAAGATTGGTAAGCATCAAGGCACCCCGCAGCAATTTTCACTCTTTTTTTTTCCCCCCCTCGCAAATAAATGTTTAGACTCCACGTTCTTAGCGGAATGTATGGGAGGGGGAAGGAAAAAGACGGAGGTGACACAATATAATTGCAATACACACTGCGGCTAATAGTGACCACATGGGTAGGAAGAGACGCCTACAGGTGTAGGACAAGGACAGCAGCAACATTTCATTCTTGTCTCTCTCTTTCCCTGTGAGCTGGGAAAACCTCAACATTTCAGGAACCAACAGTCACTTTTATCCCATTCTCCTTAACATATGTCTGTTTGTGTGTTTTTTTTTCCCAGATCTCTTTTTCACCCCCCCCCCAAAAGCTCCTTCGACACTAATACTGGAGCAACAATAGTCTTTATTATGGTGTAGCAATCTGCAATATACATTCCCCATGTGTATTAGTAAGTTCTTAAAGTTTACCCACACGTTTTTTTTTGTTCAATGCCTTCACGCTTAAATCCTCCATCTGTGGCATAATTTTATCATTTCCCCCCCCAAAAAAAAACTTTTTTTTCCCTCTCTCTCAAAAAAAGGGGGCCGGTCTGTGGAAAGGGGATTACAAAAAAAGTGGGCGTTTAATATTAGCCTCGACCAGCCCTTCTAATGCATATTAATAAACGCATACGTCGGTCTCTCCCTCTCTCTCCGTCTCATTCTGTGTCCAGATGAAGCAGTTACTATCCCTATCAACTAGACGGCTGTGATTTTTTTTTGTATGTAAAAGGAGGAGGGGAAGGGGGATTTGTTTTGTGTCTCTGTGACCGAGGTGGAGATTTGTGCATGGGAGGAGAAACGTCGCCGGTTTGGAAAATAAAGGAGAATAATAAAAAGAGAGAGAGAGAGAGGGAGCAGGCTTGCTTTTTCCCCCCCCCCTTCCCCCTGTTGTTTTGTTTTGCATTGATGATTCGCTTTCTTTTCAAACATTTTTTCTCCCCCTGTAGCAAGTGTCTCTCCCAGTCGTGCATGCGAAAATCGGTGCAGTATATTTCTGTGTTGCGTTCTGCTCCACCCTCAGTACAGCCAAGTGCAAGCGAGGCGAAGCGATGGTTTGCAGTGAGTTTTCAGTCTTTACTGCTCTCTGCCTTATCGTTTTGCGGACCCAGGTAGGTTTTTTTTTCCCCTCTTTTATTTCTAACTCCTTCACAACGCTGGCTTGCTACTGTCTCATATCGTGAGGAGGGAAAAAAAAATCTCAGCAATTTTTTTTTTTCCCCCAAAAATCTCAGCAACTTTTCCAAATGCACTTTCTTGTTGTTGTTGCTGCAAATTGGGAAGCGTTTGCAATGCTCTAATTCCGGGGGTTTGTCTTAAAATTGTGTATTTAAAATGTATGTAGTGGTGTGAGATTTCCACTTTTTTTTTCCTGCTTGTTTTATTAAATAAGCAACCACCTTTTATTTTTAAAACTTGTCGCTTTTATTTTTTAAAAAAAAACAAAAATAATTGTCCTCCTGCAGCTTTCCCAGGCTTCGGGGCAGTTCGAGTTGCAGATAAACTTTATGCAGAATGTTAACGGCGAGTTGCAGAATGGGAACTGTTGCGAAGGGAGCGCCAGAAACCAAGACCGCAAGTGCATGCGGGCTCAGTGTAACACTTTCTTCAAAGTCTGCCTCAAGGAGTATCAGTCCCGTGTCTCCCCCGGCGGACCCTGCAGCTTCGGATTCTCCTCGACCCCGGTCATCGGAGGGAATACCTTTAACTTGAAGGCGGGCAACAGCAACAGCGAACGCAGGATTGTACTCCCCTTCAGTTTCGCTTGGCCGGTGAGTCAGTCCACGGGAGCTGCTGGAACAGAGAGAGAGAGAGAGAGAGTGAATCTGGAGCAGCTTAGTTTATTCTCCCTCTCTGCTTCTTTCTGTCTCTCTCCTCCCCTTGGTGCCTCCTTTCCGGCTTGAACTGTAAAACAGCATTTTCTTGCACTTTGTGGACTTGTCCACTTACTAGTTTATACTTCACTCTACACTTTTTTGTTTTTTGACTTGCCCACCTAATAGTTTACTGTAATTTTTTGTGTGGTCTACCTCCTAGTTTACACGCTTTGTTTTCTGGGCTTGTTTGTCTACCTAATAGTTTACAAACTTTTTTTTTTGGCTTGTCCACCACCTCATAATATTCAAACGTTCTTGTTAATGCAGTTTCAACACTTGTTTTCAAGCAGTTTCTTTTTAAAAAGCAATTCTAAAACATTAACGGCTGTGTGTGTGTGTTCCATTGGTGATGTTTTGGCTTTCCAGACTAGTAGGGGCTACAGAAAGCAAAGCTTTTAACAGGACTGTGTGCATTTTTTTAATCACACTCTTAACTATTTCCACGTTTTATTTTGGGGATGGGAGGAGTGGAAGAGAGATATGAGCAGAAAGTGTTCATTGCCATCTTAAAAACTCTTCAGACCCACTCCCGCTGAGTTAATGTGGAATGTTGATGTATGGTGAGACTCCAACTTGCTACGTATTCCCAAAAACTTGTACCCAGAACTTCACTTTGCTACCTTAATTTTCCCTTCTCGCCTTCGGTATTTGGTCATGGGGTGTGTTTACTTTTTAGTAAGCGGGGCTTAAATGTTAGAGGTGCCCAGTGTTGTAATTTTAAGCAAAAGCAGTTTGCTTTGACACATTGTGGCATTGGTGGATCTGCAATTTTTTTTTAGTGTAGGTGTCTGTTATTGCAGCAACATCTTAGATTCTTCCAGTGCAGTTTCAGTCAAGGAATCCAGCTCCGGCAGATCAGCCAAGTGAAGTACTTCTGTGATCTCTACTATGAAATTGTTGAGTCAGATTTCATGTGAGGGGGCCCAATGACAGTGGAGCTGTACAATTTGCAAGCAGTTGGGACACAGTAAATTTTAATGCATAACATGTTGCTGTCGCATGAAGCTTGGTTACGGGAATTCCATTTTTAAATCCGACTTGCATGTTTAAAGGAAATGACCAGGGTTTTGAGCCTGAAGTTGTGGCTAGATGCCCAATTAGCCTCCTATATAAAAAGGTGATTCAGTTCCCCACGTTACGCACAATGTACGTAGATAATACTGTTGTACTAATGTAGTCTTTCTGTTCCCATTTAGCGCTTTCAATGTTTCCCTTTTTTGTGGTAAATGCTTTCAAATGAACAAAAGAATGAGGCAGATGTTATGATGGTGGAGCCTTGGTACAACTGAAACACAAACCTACAAATTGAAATTGTGACATGCTGTACATTTTGTCACTTTCACTTGCAAAGTTTGTGGGGGCGATTTTGAGTTTCCCTTCCACAAAAAAACAGAATTTCTTACCATGTTCTCCGGTGTCAAAATGCAACGACATCCCATCGAAACAGTGCAATCTGTTTCCTTTTCAAAAGGGTCTGTTACTGCGACTGACGGTCACCCTGCAGCTTGTAAAGGAGAGGATTGTCTGGATTATGTGCATCCCTTCTTCCTCCACTCTCCCATAAAAGGAAAGATGAAAAATGAAACATTGGTAATTGAGTTGCAGGCAAGCAAAATGGCTCTGCAAGCACTGAGTAAGTTTATTTTTTTGCTTGCTGTGTGCCATAATAGTCTAGTAAGCTCTTAGCCGAGTAGTTGTGGATGGCCTTTGTATAACTCCATGCAGTGTTGAGAGGCATGGAGAAATCGAGAGTATTGTCTGGAAAAAGTTGTGCAATGATGTTTTGAGACTAAATGTCCTATATTAGACACCACCCCCCTGCACTTGGATCTCCTGTAATCAGCACTGGGTCTTTTCATTTTGGGGCTGTTGGGGATTTTAGTTCCTTGGTGCTGGTTTAGTATTGCAGTTGACCTGATACAAAGAAGGACATTCCTTGTAATTGGGGGTATATGGTTGGAAAAGCTGTGTTGCCTTGACTACGACTATTGACACTTCCTTTCTCTCTCTCTTCTCCTCTTCTCTTTCTCCACCCCCCCCCCCCTTCCTTTTGTGTTGAAAGGTGAGCTCTAATTGGCCATTGTCATTTTGCATGCTTACTCATTCAGAGGGCATGTACTTAGCAATTCCAGCCATTATGACAAATCAGCAAATGTAAATTGTGCCACAGTAGGGTAAGGTAGAAGTTGGGTGGGAGTTGTTGTATATAATAGCGAACGTGGGGGTAAATTTTCACAAATAGTTAGCAGCTCGCCTCCTGATGTGCAAGAGTTTGACGGGGAAATGAGAGTAATGAGTGTGGAGATGGTAGGCTGTAAATTCATTGAGATGACTGGGAGGTTGAATGGGTTGCCAGGAGACGCAGCAAAGGGCTGGCACTGAGGAATAACTAGAAACCACTCAAGCTGCACCTGCATTGGAAGAAATTGGCGCAACTCCCTGTTTCCCTTTTTTTTTTGTAAAAATAGTCAATCCTGAGTTTAAAATTCTGCTCCAGTTACGAGCAACATGTTAGCATTGTATACAGGGCTGCTGCTTTCCTTCTTAAAATTTTCAGTAAACTTAGCCTTGCACATCAGAGGGATAACTCCAGATTATCTCCAGTAAATCCATCTCCCCTTGACGCAGAGGCTACGGCCATGACAGTGAAAGAGTAAATATAAAATGAATGCAGTGGTAGGATGTATTTTTGGCAAATAGTTTTGCCAGCTCTACTTTTCAGAGTTGGCAGCATTCTAAGCACTGAACTGAATGTGTACAGTGCAAGCTCCCTCTATGGTTCATTATTTTTACAAAAGGCTTTGTTGCCCTGTGTTTAACTTAATTTAAAACCTCATCAAAATGCTGTCTTGTAGGCATGGTACTTAGAATGTTGTCTGCGCTATCCCCTCAGCTTCTCAGGTGTGTTTTGAACTTTTTGAAACAACCTGTGGGTGACTTGAATTTTGGACGATGTGAAGAGCAATTCTGGAGCAGAAATTAACTTGATGCGTTCTAGTGGGGGGGATGTGCTAGAAGTTGGCTTGGTGAATAAACCAGACAATCTCCTGGCTCCAATAAGTTGTATTCCTTCCACACTATCACCACGTGTAGTTTATTCAGGAAATATTTTTTTCCCTTGATTTAATTGACACAGCTTTTCTATGGGACTTGGGAACGTTTTTTCAAAGCTTGGTAGGCTCGTCCTGGGAATAATCAGTTAGTTCTTCCCCCTTCCAGCATGCCTGACTTAGAATTGTTTGGGAAAAGCTGAAACTATCATCCTAGCTTGTGGATAAGTTATCATCTTTTCAATCAGTCTAAAATACTGACTTGAAAGTTGGTTCGGCTCTTTAGCGGAGATGCAGAATTTCAACGCATATAAAAAATTCTGTGAAAGGATTGCTTTTTAAAATGGATAACTCTGCATTTCTAAGGAGAGCTTTGTTCTGGAGTTAATTCACTTAGCAGTGATAGTATTCAGCAAAATTATAGTTTTTGTCAAGGAGAGAGTTTGTACTCAGGTTGCGACTGAAGGCGGTACTGCAGTACAACTAAACAGCACGATAATTTTCCCGAAGCATTGCAAATCTGTCATTTTCAAACTCCCATGGATTTGAGCTGCAGTTGTGGTCTCCAGGCAGTGTAAGTGAGGGTGCACCTGGTAATTTGTGTGAAAGTGTGTGGGAAAACTTCTGGCTAGCCAGGCAGTGCACTGATTATGCCTTCTGGCAAAATCAAAGAATGATAATCAACTTCAGATGTGGATTTTTTTTTTTCCCCTCCTGTCTCCCTCTTAAAAGGAGGAAGAGAACACTTCTTAGGTAGATGAAGTTTACTGAAATTTGTCTTTAATGCCTGTGGCACATGGTTTTATGGCCTAACTTAACAAATGTTCATATTGTTTATCATAGAGGTAAAGCCTTGCTGGAATTTTTGGTCACTGAACTCTGCAGTTGAGATCAAATGTCAAATTTTATACAGTCACCTAAGGTATAGTGACCACGTCTGAGCATGAAATCTAAGAGGCCAGCAGCTAGACAGTGGGATCTTGTGCACTTGTTCCTTTGTCTGAGAAATGGACTGGGTGCAGTGAAACGAGGTACAGTTTCTCATGCTTCCTGGTATTGGTAACAAAGTAATTTTGATGTGACTGAAAAATCTGGCTTTGTTTTAACCAGTAGTGATGCTTGCTACACACAGTGCTGCGACCGTGAGGAAACCACATGTCAATTGAAAATGGCCAATTTATTTGGAAAGCCATTTTGCATGGAGTAATGTTTTAGTTTTTAAAAAAAAAATTAAATTGACAGTCCTGCAGCCAACTTAAGTTGTAGCAAGGAACCTGTGACTCGGGATGATGGATAAAGAGAGAGGTTACGGTTTATGCAAGCAAGAGTTGATTTATCACAAAAAATTGTCCATGTTCCGTTTTATTTCACTTTGGCCTGGGAAGCCAGACCTCCTTGTCCAGACTTGCAGTCTGTGAATCTGACTGGTTGTGCCTCGTTGACTGTGAGGTATTGCTTCTGTTAACTTTGCAGCCTCTAACTGCTGCATTTGACAGATATATCAATAGTGTGATTCTCTCCAATACAAGAAAATCAGGGGTTGGAGGGGGGTGCAGAGATGGGGAGGATTCACTCTTGTTAAAGTTGGGAAAACTTTTTGCCATTTTCAGCAGGATGATAACTTTTTGCATTGCGCTCACGTTCCCTCACCCCAACCTTTTTTTTTAGAAAACACAAAACGTGCTGTGTTGGGCTTATCAGTATTTGGAGTCTAGGAAGTGGTGTTCTGGTCACCCAGACAGAGGTGGGGATTGCTAATATTAACCAAGGACAATAGGAAAAGCAAACTGACTGCAGCAAGGATTACAGAATATAATGGAACCTTCCAGAAATAATGCGAATACATGACAAGCAACAGGAAGCACCAGTAGACTCGGCTTTGCTAAGCTCTCAGACACACCAGAACCTCTCAATGACAACGTCAGCACATTATATATTCATGGGCTTACTAATTATTCCAGTGGGCTTTATCAGATCAGGCACCGACCCGGTTTATGGGATGTTTGGATAGCGGTGTTTCGACCTTTCATCGTTAACCGGAGGACAGCTGCAGCGTTAGAGGGGTGCTGGCCTTCAACTGCTCATGTGACCACTGTGCTCTGAAAGGAGAGAGACTTGCAGCTGCTTCTGTCGTTAATTTTTGGTTTTACATCTCAATGTGGCAATGAACTGTGGTTTTCTTTTTTAATTCCCCTCCTGTTCTGGAGCCCTAGAGGTGGTTAATTGACTTTGCTTTCGGTGAAATTGCAGCAGTGGTTCGCTATCTTCTTTTGTGTGGGTGGGGGGCTATCGAACTGGGCGTTGGGGATCTTGTGGGATATTGGATCGCAGTTTGGCTATAGCTGGGTGTCTAACAGCATGTGCGCTTTTGGTTAAAGCCTTACCATTAAACGCTTTGTTTGATGTGATGAAATAAAAGGATCCCACTGTGTAAATCAAACTTCTTAACACTTTGCTCAACGGAGCATGTCTCGGATTGTTCTAGGGTATTGCTCTGAAGGGACAAAACTGCTCTGAGCTGCCTAGGCCTTCGAAACGGGCCCCTTCCGTGTTTTTACACTCTTCATGACCTTTTGGGGGTCACTAAGTGCTCAATAATCATGGGGGTCGGTTAGCTCAATTGACTAGATGGCTGGATTGCGATGCGGAGGGTCACCAATATTGTGGGTTCAATTCCTGCACTGGCTGAGGTTACAATGAAGGTGCTGCCTTCTCAAACCCCTCTCCACGTGACCTGCACATCAAACTCCCCACCAGTTGTCACTCCCTCAAAGCAGTTCTCCAGGACTTTTATTTTACAGCCAATCAAGTGCTTTTAAATGGTTAAAGTCACTATGGCCGTACCGAACCATAGGACTGCTCTCTTATTACAGAGAGAGAGACAACTGGTGGCTTAACCTGAGGGTCAGCACACCCTGGGCAAGGGGAGAGGTTGAGAACGAGAGTCCTTCCTGATAACCACAGCCGGTGATGGGAACGGAGCCAACTCTGGTGTCACTCTGCATCACAAACCAGCTGTCCAGCTAACTGAACGTTGAAAGTGTAAATGTAGGAAATGCAATCTGATTTGTGCACAGCAAGCTCCCACAAGCAGCAACGTGACACTGATCAAGTAATCCAGTGTCTGTGCGAAATATTGGCCGGAGCACAGGTACCTCCCTCTTGCTGGTGGGGAGAAATCTTTTGGGTCCACCCAAGGTGGGAAAGTGGGGCATCTGTTGAAAGGACTTTGTCATTCCCCCTTTCTGTTGCCCTGGGATGTTATCTGAGGGAGTTGTGGGACTCAAGCCTACAATCCTCTGACTTCTGCCCCAGGACCGCTGCCAACTGAGCCACTGTTGGCTGGGCGTGGACAATTTAACTTTGCCAATTAACTTTTTTGCCCCTAACTCTCTGGGAGTTGGTTTAGCTCAGTTGACTGGGCGGTTGGTTTTGATAGTCACACCAGTTGGTGTAGGTTCAATTCCATACCAGCTGAGGTTACCATGAGGTACTTTCCTTCTCAACTTCTCCTCTTGGCTGAGGTGTGGTGACCCTCATGCCACCAGCCATGTCTCTCTGCCTGTCTTTCCCACTCCGTGGGCGCAATCCTATGATCTGGAAGATTGTGGTGATTTTTCTTTACCCTTTTGAATGTCTGATGACTTGCTAGAATTTAATGAAGGGAATATTGCATGCAGTCTAGTTTGCTAAAAATGATTACCAAATTTCCCATCTATAAAACCACAAATTTATTTGAGCGATGTCCTTAAACTCATAGAAGGTCGAGGTGTAGGAAAGAGACATTTGCAACATCAAAGTTTAGTAATAACAGGAGAGTATAGCTGTAAGGAGATTGGCCAAAACAAATCCTGTGAA